GGGCCTCGTGGGGTGGCGCGGCTGCGTTGAGCAGGGCCAGGCCTGGATGCGCTGCTGGGAACAGGGCCTGATGGTGTGGCGCGGCGGCGGACTTTTGCGCCAGATCCGGACGCACTGCTGCGGAGACCAGGGCCTGGTGGGGTGGCGCGGCTTCGGAAAGCAAGGCTTGCCCTGGTTGCGTGGCCACCAACATCAGAGCCAGACCCGGATGCACCGCTGTGAAGAACAGGGCCTGGCGGAGTGGAGCAGCTGGGGAGAGCAAGACCAGATTCGGACCCACTGCTACTGAGAACAGGGCCTGGCGGGGTAGCACGGCGGCGGTCATCAGGTCCAGACAGGGATGTACTGCTGTGAAGAGCAGGGCCTGGCAGGGTGGCATGGCTGCGTTGAGCAGGACCAGGTCTGGATGCGCTGCTGCAGAATCCAGGATCTGAAGCGTATGTAGAGCGCTGAGCTTTACCTGTCGAGGTAGTACCGCCTTGGCGAGCAGGGTCTGCCTGGGCTGCTTGACTGCGGAGGGCAGGCCCTGGACGAGTTGCCGGACTCCGCGGAGAAGCGTGAGAATGGTTGCCGATGCAGAGCTGAAACCTCGGAGAAGATGGCGGCAGAGACACAGATGACTGTGGTGTGGGGGCCCAAAGAAGCTGAGGGCGCTCTGGAGATGTGGCAGCTTCTTCAGCCCGTTTGTGCCCAGGCTGCTTCCTAGGATGGTTGCTCCTACCGCTCTTGATCTGGGCCACCGTACCTTCTGGGGCTCGCCCCTCCCCCGACCGGGCGCCTTTGTGGAAGCCCACATGGCTAAGGCGTACTTGGGGGCTGCCGCTGACCTGGAGATCTGAACCGTGCTCTGCTGGCATGCAGGTCTCGATGGTAGGTGGTGGGTCTTCACCGGCCAAAACGGCTACAGAACCTGGAGAACCAGCCGGGCTGCATCTCACGGCCTCACCTGACAGAGGTGCATTACCTGAAGCTGTGAGGACCAAGGCAACAGGATTTTGAATACCGCTCCCGCAGGTGTCGCCAGGGGCTAGGGCGGTGCCCTCATTCTTTGGCCCTCCAGGCACCTCATCCTGGTGGCACTTCTCGCTGGATGACTGGGTGGCCATAATATTAGCTCCTGCACGGAGACACACCAGCCTAGCTGCTACCGAGATCTGTGTAAAACCGGAACTGGTAGAGGGAGAGGATGGGTGGAGCCGGCTGAACTCGGCCTCTGATTGGTGATCTGGATGACACGTGATGCCTCCGATCTTCTCCGAGCCCAGTCGGGCCGGAAGATGTCCTCTACCCTTCCTTCCTTTCTCGTGCAGAACAGGAGCTTGTGCTCTGCCGCCGCCGCTCCCCCACCCTCACGAAAATGGTGCAACTTTCTCTAGCCTCAAACCCTCAAACCTGGCCTTTAGAGTGTGTTTCGGGATAGGGGCTTAGACAGAAGGAAGTCTATATGAGCAAGTTGAGGCACCCCAAAAGAGCTTGTCGACTTCATTCTGGTGGCTCAATCTCAAAGGATCCCTTGAAAGATATACTATGCTGGCCAACATAACATATCCCATAGTCCATGTGTGACTCCATAAAGGATCTCTTCCAGAACTCTTCTGGGCATCTGGATGACCCCACATGGACTCTTGTGGGGTTTAAAGTGGGCAGAGGCCTGAAGGCAAGAAAAGGGATGGGGGGCCGTAGATTTAGCTCAGTGGTTCTTTTGCCTGCCTCGCAAGTGCGAGTTCGATCCCCGGTACCAAAAAAAAAAGAAAAAAGAAAAGGGATGGGGTCCACACTGTCTCCGCTGGTGATGTTCAGCGCAGGATATGCTGCCTCCCTCAAGTCCAACATACCAGATATGGACTTAGAATTTTCCAGGGAAATGCTTCTCTTTCCCTTGTCTCCTGAGGCATAGGCTATGGTTGCCTAGCATTAAAGGTGATTAAATTCATCAACATTTGTATGGGGTGTATAAGAATCCACTGAAGAATGAACATTAATGTACTCGGAGTAGTCTCTATTTTTATTAATATAAATATGATGTGATGCACAGACTTGAAGATTAATATTTGGACATTCATTTTTAGTCATTGTTACAAAAGGGGCTGCCTTTTTCGGTACTCAAAGCTGAAAAGCAAACAAGAAAACCAGCACCAAAATTCTCACACATCCATAGGTGAGTACTGGAAATGTTTAATTATATCTCAGAAGTATGTTCATTCATACATATTTCATAGTTTTAAGAAAATGGAATTATTTGTGCATACCTATTATTTGTAACTTGGCTTTTGAGTCCAGAAAACACACTTTATATGTCAATAAGCAAATTTCCACAAAGCTATATTATAAATAAAAATATTCTTTTTAATGAGGGAGATTATATTTTCAAGCATTCCTATAATGACCACCATTTATGTTCTTTCCAACTTTGTACAAGAATGTTAGACACATCCTCACTAAAAGCTATTCATATCTTATGTATTCTTGTGAACAAATTCCCAGAAGAGGAAATTCTTGGTACACATCTATACACATTTGAAATTATTAGATAAAAATGTTATTGGCAAATCGTTCTCTTGAAAGTTGCTGTTACAACAATTTTAGCAGAATAGAACAGGATATTTCTTTCTTTTTTTTTTCCTGGTACTGGGGATCAAACTCAGGCTCTTGCGCTTCCAAGGCAGGCGCGGTGCAACTGAGCTAAATCCCCAGCCCACCAGAGTAGAACAGGATATTTAAGGGATTGGATGAGAAAAAAAAAAAAAGTCAAAGAAATCCTGACCAGAAAATCCAAAGCCAGAATTACCACACTTCAAAATATGCCACAAAGCTATAGTAACCAAAGCAGCATAATAGTGGCACAAAAAACAGATACATGAACCAATGGAACAGAGTAAAGGGCCCAGGAATAATTCCAGGTATTTACAGTCAACTGATTTTCAACAGAGGTACCAAGAATATGCATTGAGAAAAGGACAGTCTCTTCAACAAATGGTGCTGGGAAAAATGGATATCCACATGAAGAAGCATGAAACAAGTCCCTTATCTCTCACCATATAAAATGAATTCAAAATGGATTAATGACTTAAACATAAGACCTGAAAATATGAAACTACTAGAAAAAACATAAGGGAATTATTTTGGAAAATTGGTCAAAGGAAATTTTTCTGGATATGATCCCAAAAGCTCAGATAACAAGCAAAAATAGACCAATGGGATTGTAGTAAACGAAAAAGCTCCTACATAGTAAAGCAAACAATCAGCAGATTTAAGAGACAGACTGTAGAATGAGAAAATGTTTGCAAACTATTCATCCAACAAGGTATCAACACCGAAGATATATATAGAATTCAACAGCATGTACATGTGTACACCCACACCCAAATCATCTGATTAAAAAAATGGGCAAATCCCAGCACTTAAAAGGCTAAAGCAAGATTACAAGTTTGAGTCCCACCTGGGATATAGCTCAGTGGAAAAGTGCACCTGGGTTCAATCTCAAGTATCACATAGAAAAAAGGACAAAAGGTCTATATAGTGCCATTTTTTTTTGTTGTTTTTTGGTAGTATCATTTAAAAAAATATGGAACAATGCCAATTTCCAATAGGATTCTGGAGGCCTATAGAATAAACTTGTGTCACTTTTACAGGATATTTTTGAAAAACTTTTAATGCCATGGGAAAATGATTGCTAGAATACCAAAAATAAAAAAACCCTATATGACAGTGTTTTTACTAGTCAATATTTACATCCTTTTTTTCTTTTTCTTCACATTTATCTAACTTTCTACATGTATTAAATTTTTATCTATTGTAGTGCAGTTGTTTTCAGCCTGGGGCATTTTGCTCCCCAGGGAAAGTTTAGAAATTTCTGCAGACTGCTTTTGGCATATAGTGCTACCCCTTTAATGCACAGGAAAGCCTCCGATGATACAGAATTATGTGGTCCAAAATACCAATAGCATCAAGTTTGACAAATCTTTATTTATGTTTTGTTTTTTTGTGTTTTGTTTTTGGTACCGTGGATCAAACTCAGGACCTTGTGCTTGCGAGGCGCCGGAACCACTGAGCTAAATCCCCGGCCCAATGTTTTGTTTTTTTTTTGGTACCGGGGATCGAACTTGGGACCTTGTGCTTTCGATGCAGGCGGCGAAACCACTGAGCTAAATCCCTGGCCCGGGTTTGACAAATCTTGATGTAGAGCATCTAGATATTTCAGAAAAAGTTAAGAAAATTTAAATCACAAGCAACTCTACCAGTCATTGAAAACTTTTGTTAAAACTTTAAAATATGCTAGATGTGGTGGTGCTCGCCTGTAATCCTAGCACTTGGGAGGCTGAGGCAGGAAGACTGCTGTGAGTTTGAGGCCAGCCTGGGCCATATAGTTAGTTGAAGGTCAGCCTGAACTACATAGCGAGACTCTCTCAAAAAACCCAAAACAAACCAAAAAATTGCTATAACTTTCATATATGTATGTATTAATTCTTCTATGATAATTTTGTATTTTATAAGCAGCAAAAGGGGTATTTTTGAAATGAATTAATTTTATTTTTGTAGCGCTGGGGATTGATCCCAGGGCTTTGTGCATACTAAGCATGTACTCTACCACTGAGCTACATTCTCTTATCCAACTAATCCTTTAAAAACTATTCTTTCTCAACCAGCTATAAACATTTTTCACATATTAAGCATACTACTCATTGCTTAAGAAGTTAAATAACTTAAGAATTGTGATTTTAGCTCATTCACAAAGAGGGATATTCCACAATACCAATTCATCATATATCTCCTGATTTTCAAACTTCTAATCAAAGCATTAATTTCAAATATTTATATAATATGTCTGATATGTAAGTGAGATAGCTAAGTCAGCCCTCAGTCTTCTAGGGTTAACACATATACTAAGAAAGTGCGAGTTAAAAATAGACCAGTCTTCAAGGTTCTAAAGTTAATGTAACACAAAAAAAGAACAAAAGATGGACAGTCAGCTCAGCTTTCAAAGACGATGTGGTCAGCAGGTATACCAAGAAGCCAGAGGAGAAAAAAAATTCTACAGCATGAGAAAGCATCAAACACCTAAGGACTAAAACTAATTAAAATCCACAAGACCTTTGCCCAGAAATCTCCATAACATTTCTGAAAGGAATTAAAGTCCCACATTAATCAGAGATACAGTATGTTTATGGACCAGAAATATAAAAATTAAATTAAAGACAATTCTCTTCCAAGTGATTTATGGATTCATTGTAATCTCAATAAAAATCTCAGCAGACTGTAAATGGAAATTTGCAAGCCGATTCTAAAATATGGATGGCTATCAAAGATATCCAAGAATAGCCAAAGTCATCCAGAAGAAGATATTTGAAGCATTTTTAAAGCCAGATAGCAAGTAAACTATAAATCCATTATAATTAAGGCAGTGTGATCTTTGTATAGGGGTAGCTTGTTATGAAGGAATAGATAAGGATAGATACTAATTAATAAATAGACCAGGGCTGGGGATTTAGCTCAGTGGTGCCACCGCCTGCCTCGAAAGCGCAAGGTCCTGAGTTCAATCCCTAGTACCAAAAATAAATAAATAAATAAATAAATAAACAAACCAATCAAACAACAAAAAGTTAAACTGACACACACAGTTGGTCACTTCACTTACATTAAAGCTACCAATGCAATGTTCAGGATAAAGACAATAATTTAAGTAGGGCTGGACTAATTGGATACCAAGCCATATGGAAAAAATAACTTTGGCCTCTAACTTAAATCATACAAAAATATAATTCTAGAAGGCAAAGCTTCTAGAAAATGACATAAATGTATATCGAGACCTTTTAGCAGATTGTGATATCTGAAACAGGACTTAAAAACCACTAATGATAAGGAATATATTGATTACACCTACACACACAGCGTGAACATCTTATGTACAGAATAAAATCAAGAAAAGTAGATGCAATTATACATTAGCAGAATATTTCAATAGCCACGTCACAAAACAGAATATTTAATAAACAAAAGTTGCTCAAACTCAGTCATCAAGATTTTAGAAATTAATATCAATGAGATATCAGTATACATCTATCAGTGTAGTGAAACAACTATAAATATCAAGTTGGAGAGGAAACCCCAGCTACGTGGGTGGCAAAGGCAGGAGGATTTGGGGTTCAGCCTGAGCAACATAGTATGACCCTGTATCAAAATAAAATAAAAAGGGCTGGGGATGTAGCTTAGAGTTAGGGTTCTTCCCTAGCATGAATGAGACCTTAGGTTAAATTCTTAGTACTGAAAAAAATCTTGGCAAGGAATAGAGGAACTGAAATTCTGATACTGGGAATGAAAATTGGTACCACCACTTTGAAAAACTGTTTGATAGTATCTTTTAAAGCTGAATTTATGCAT